AGCAGGCTCTAGGCTCTGAGCTGTCAACACAGAGCCTGACGTGGGGCTCGAACTCATGAACTGTGAGATCATAACCTGAGCCAAAGTCGGACACTTAAGGGACTAATCTACCCAGGCACCTCGGAAACCTGCTTTTTTTATGGTCATGTCTAGTTGATGACTGCAGGTCCCCATGTTTGTAGAAATACGGAGTCAGCAAGTGAGATTAGAGTCCTTGGAGGGGACCTGTTGCTGACTTACATGACATCCCCCAGCCTCCTGCATCTGTCACCTCTAATCATTTCTGTAGGATACATTTTGGAATAGATGTGTCCTTTTAAAGCACTGGATGCTAAATCTAGAGTTCAGATTTTCTTCCCCTTTTCAGTGTTTGATATAAAGCAGGTATTTAATGGTACTTCTGTGTCTACACCCTTTGTGTGTTCTCTCTCTCTGATATAGGGATCCTCCTCTTGATATTACTTATATGCAGAGATACTGCACTGATTCAATAGTTTCATCAGTTTCTCTGTGTAAAGAATTGTTAGCAATGCAAAACATTTATATCCTGCAGGTTTTAAGGGATCATGGGCAAAGGTTTCTTGTTGGTAACCAGCTGAGCCTTGCGGACGTGATTCTACTCCAAACCATTTTGGCTCTAGAAGAGAAAATCCCCAATATCCTGTCTGCATTTCCTCACCTCCAGGTAAATAAAACCATGTTTTAGAAGATTGGTTCAGATCTCTTAGACCTTCCTTCCTTCAATGTCTGTTAGTTGGTTGGCTAGGGGTGCATGTGTCCTTTTTTAGATTCTAGTTAGTAAAATGAAATGAAAGTAGAAACTTGAAATGGTTTTTCTGGTTCCCAGATCTTACAAGCTGAAAGATAACGTATCTGTGAAAGCAGTTTTACCTAAGTTTTGTCCCATAACTATGCTCTTGAAAAAAAATCGCATACACAGTTTGCTAACAAACTTGCCTTAGGGGTAATCTCAGGGATGAGGCGTTCCTCATCTGTCCGTGCTGTATATATACTGACAGGAGGGCTTCAGGGTCAACACCAAAAACAGTCTCCTTGTCAGGATGTGGCTCCCGATTTTCAGAAATAGGTGCTCTTGCATTGGAAATGTCCCAGCCTGAGTTCTGAAAACAAGTAAGAGGCTCGCTGAATATCACTCCAGAGAGTTCCCACCATACATTCCCCTTCTTGGAAAATCCAAGGAGAGACTTGTGTGTGTCTCCACTTATTCCTCAGTATTATTCTGGTAAGACTGATCATGGAACTTCAAAGCAGAAAAGGGCTTTAAACAACTAATCTCATCCAGAACCTTTGGTGTAGATACGAGGAAATAGAGACCCAAGGTCAAGAAGTCAGCAGCCAAGATGGCCTAGTTAGTGAGCCTCAGTTCTGTCTAGGACCTTAGCTTTTTATCTCCAGGTCCAGTGGGTTTCCTCTATATGGGGGTTTGGCAAACTGCAGCCTCCGGGTCAAATCAACCCTGCCACCTGTTTGTGTATGGTCCCTGAGCTAAGAATGGTTTTTACATTTTTTTTTTTAAGTTTTATTTACTTTTAAGAAATCTCTACACCCAACATGGGGCTTGAACTCATGACCCCAAGATCAAGAGTCACACTCTCCTCCAACTGAACCAGCCAGATACCCCAATTTTTACATATTTAAGTGGTTGAAAAAAAACATCAGAAGAATAATATTTCATGACACATGAAATTATGTAAAGTTTGAATTTCACAAAGCCATGGCTCATTCATGCACACATTGTTTACAGCTGCTTTTGTGCTACCACAAGAGTTCAGTAGTTCTGATAGAGACCATATGGCTTGCAAAACCTAAAATATTTACTAACTGGTCCTTTATAGGAAAAGGTTGCCAATCCCTTATATACCCAAATGGGCACATATTTGACTAAGTTACCAAAAGTCAAGAGAAATACACTAGATCTCCAAAATCTCCAATGCTTCTTAAAAAATGATAATAATTTTTCCAAGCCTAGGAAATACACTTTGATATACTTATGAGGACAACAACCACTAGTTAAATACATACACCTGGAAAAGAAGAATAGAAGTCTTCAACAAGGCAGTAGCCATTATATTGTTTAGCTGCCTGTTCATTTCCTCTTGTAGACACAGGGGTGAACATTCTTTAACCTGACTTTCATACCAGTAGGTCCCTGAAATAACTCAGGGACCTGTTGGCATTTTCCATCCATGACACTAACGACTTATTTTTAAACCCCAGGTACATCTGTGTAAATGTAATTTTTTGAAACGTGGGTCAAGGTGTTTTTTTTCCATATTGAAGGATAGTTAACACACAATGCCATGTTAGTTTCAACACCGTGACCCAGCAGCTCCACACATCATGCTATGCTCATGACAAGTGTAGCTACCATTTGTCCCCATACAACGCTATTACAGTGTCATAGACTATATTGTCTGTGTTGTACCTTTCATTCCCATGATTTATTAATTCCATAACTAGAAGCCTTTATCTCCCACTCCATCCGTTTTGTCTATCCCGCCCCCACCCCACCACCTTCCTTCTGGCAACTGTCAGTTTGTTCTCTATTTATGTGTCTGTTTCTGTTGCTTGTTTCGTTTTTTAGATCCCACATATAAGAAAAATCCTATGATACTTGTCTTTTTCTGACTTATTTCACTGGGCATAATACCTTCTAGATCCATCCATGCTGTCACAAATGGCAGAATTTCATTCTTTTGTATGGCCAAGTAGTGTTCCATTGTATATATAAATACATATCTTATATATCCACATCTTCCTTATCCATTCATCTATGGGTGGACACTTAGGTTGTTTCCATAATCTGGCTATTATAAATAATAGCACAATAAGCACAGGGGTGCATATATCTTTTCAAATTAGTGTTTTCATTTTCTTTGCATAAATACTCAGTAGTGGAATTACTGGATTGTATGGTATTTTTATTTTTAATTTTTTGAGGAACCTCCTTACTGTTTTCCATAGCAGCTGCACTTAAATACAATTTTAATCTCTGATGAGATTGGGCATCAATATTAAAACACTTTTTTTTATGTTTATTTTATTTTTTGAGAGAGAGAGAGGGACCAAGCATGAGCAGGGGAGGGACAGAGAGAAAGGGAGACACAGAATCTGAAGCAGGCTCCAGACCTGAGCTAAAGTCAGACACTTAACTGACTGAGTCACCCAGGGACCCCTTGGTATTAAAGGACTTCAGAATCTAACACCAGATCTAAGTTGAAATGAGGATCATTCCTGCATTGGTTAAAGGGCATAAAAGTCAGATGTCACAAAAGTTTTATTATATGTGACAAATATGAATCTCAGGTAAATCTTTAAATGATAATCCTATAGAACAAGTTTCCAAATGTTAGTATAGTATTTGAAATTAGATGATATAAAGAGTTAAAATAAGTAATAAAAAGAGAAAATTGTCATTTGCATAGCTTTAATTGACATAATTATTAGCTTTTGTTAATAGTGAAATATGTATGTATGTTTCTGTATCTCTGTGTGCATGCTTAAGGCTATGCTTTGTATATTATTGACTTTTAGTAAATAGTAACTTTTTGAATAAATGACCTCTGAAAAATTTTATTAGAATAATTATATATGATAGATATACACTTCTTCATATGGTTCAAAATTTTTATTAGATCGAATAGACTTTTCTTCTCAATTACTGAGAATTGGTAAAATTTGACTGTATGAATGGAAAATATGATTTCCATAAATATCTGGTATCTGGGGTCTGAACCCCAGGCCGTAAAAAATGCTACTGTCCGTCTCCCATTCATAGCCATAAAGAGGATCCATTTGCTAATAGGAGTAAAACAAGTCCAAGGAAGCTGAATTTCAGTTGTGCCATATGATGACTTTTTTAAATACTTTTATTCAAATGACTCATGCATTTTCTCTGAGTAGAATAGTATATTTAAGGTACTGATTTTTCCTTCCTTTTTTCTCTTTAGGCAAGCATTATAATCCTAATCTAAGTATCTTTTATTTTTCTATGTCTGAAAAGAATTCACATTTTGGTCTGAGCTGTGAGTTTGCATGAATAAAGCCTGGATAGATCCCAGCCATTGTGGGCAGAGATTGTAAATAGTCACACCAACACTTCTGCTTGGGTTCCTGTAACAAATATGTATTGCAAAAACTTTCATGGGCCATTTTGCACAACTGTATTTTCATAGTAACTTATTACCTTTGCTGTTAACCTTGAATTATTGTGTTTTCCTTTTTCAGGAGTTCACAGTGAAAATCAGTAATATCCCTACAATTAAGAAATTCCTTGAACCTGGCAGCAAGAAGAAGCCTCCTCCAGATGACATCTACGTGAGAACCGTCTACAACATCTTTATGCCCTAAGACATCACACCCATCTGTGAGTGCGAGCTAGTCCCTAGAGATTGCTGTCTCCACAATAGCATCTTCACTGATGCTGGGCCACTGCGATCCCAGCTCTGTCATGGTGCTATGTATGATTGTTCTTCAGTTGGGTCTTTCATGTCAAGATCTCTTTTAGAATCAGTGATTTTTTTTTTTTTTTTTTTTTTTTTTTTTTTTTTTTTTTTTTTTTTTTTTTTTTTTTTGTCCAGTGAATAATTGTTAAGTGACCTTTTTCTGAAAACCTTTTTGAAGAGGCTGACATTTAAGTTAGATCTGATGTGGTTACTCATTTCCTGAATACCAAGGACGGGCAGGACCTCATGTTCTCCTCTGAGCTTCTTTTCTCCTTTCCTTATCCCATTCTAAATGCCCTCCAATCTTTTCCTAATGTTTAGTGTTTGATAACAACAGAATATCTAGTGAATAATTCCTCTCTGCTATAATAAGTCTGCGGTAGTAATGAAGGCAGTCAGTATTAGCCAAAATAAAGAATTTATAAATCATTTCCCTGTTTCCAGAATTTTTTTTTTAATTAAGTTGTTTGGAATTTATAACACACTCTCATGGTTCAAAAATCAAAAGAGCATAAGAGGGTATAGAGTTGGAAGTGTTCTTTTCAGCCCTGCCCCCAAGCTACCCAGTTCTGTTCCCCATAGGTAAACACACTTATCATTTGTATATCCCTCCAGTTGTATTTGATGCATGTATATGAAAATATAAATATATATTATTTATCTTCTTACTACCCAAATGGTTATTTGTAGACTGGTAACTTTTTGCATTTCAAAACTAAAAGTACTGTTTATTAATACTCCTTTATTTTTTTTTTTATTTTTAAGTAAACTTTTTTTTTAAGTTTATTCATTTATTTTGAGAGAGAGAGAGAGAGCGCGCAGGGGAGGGTCAGAGAGAGAGGGAGAGAGAGAATCCCAAGCAGGCCCCAAACTGTCAGCACAGAGCCCAATGAGGGGCTTGAACTCATGAACTGTGAGATCATGACCTGAGCTGAAACCAAGAGTTGGACGCTTAACCGACTGAGCCACTCAGGTGCCCCTATTTTTAAGTAAACTTACTAATTAAAGTATAATACACACACAAAGGTAAGCATATTGTAATTTTAAAGTGTAATGAATTGTCACAAAGTGAATACTCCAATGTAACCACCATTCAAATCAAGAAATAAAACATCGGGGCGCCTGGGTGGCGCAGTCGGTTAAGCGTCCGACTTCAGCCAGGTCACGATCTTGCGGTCCGTGAGTTCGAGCCCCGCGTCGGGCTCTGGGCTGATGGCTCGGAGCCTGGAGCCTGTTTCCGATTCTGTGTCTCCCTCTCTCTCTGCCCCTCCCCCGTTCATGCTCTGTCTCTCTCTGTCCCAAAAATAAATAAAAAACGTTGAAAAAAAAAAAAAAAAAGAAATAAAACATCAACACCTCAGAGGCACCCCCCAAATGTCTCTTCTCAATAGTTTTTGTATATATAGTGCAATCATATGATACACATTTTTCTATTTACTTTTTATACTTAATAATTTTTATGCCAAGAACGTATACCCTTGTTAAACCACTGTATTAATACTGCTTTAAACATGTGTTGGTTTATTGCTCAGATACTGAGTACCTATTATGTGCCAGGGAGGGTGTCAGGAGGCAGAATCCCAAAACAGAGCCCCTGCTCTGGAAAAATCCACCACACGGTAAGGGAGATAGACATGTAAACAGCTGAAGTAACTTTGGAAAAGGAAGAGTTGCTGCTTTTAGAGTATCTGATATTTCAAGAATTAAAAAAAATTTTTTTTAACGTTTTTATTTATTTTTGAGACAGAGAGAGACAGAGCATGAACGGGGGAGGGGCAGAGAGAGAGGGAGACACAGAATCGGAAGCAGGCTCCAAGCTCTGAGCCATCAGCCCAGAGCCCGACGCGGGGCTTGAACTCACGGACCGCGAGATCGTGACCTGAGCTGAAGTCGGACACTTAACCGACTGAGCCACCCAGGCGCCCCTGATATTTCAAGAATTAAAAAACTAAGGAAAAGCAAGTTTTTGATGAGAGTCTTAGAGGGGACAAACTCATTTCTTACTGCAGAGGAATTTTTGTCCAGATGTAAAAAGCAAACAGCAGCCATGAGGTGATCATTAATGCCTATCTTAATCAATGCCAGTACCTCAGTGTTTTATTAGAGGAAAATCAAGTACAGCCATCAGGGTGATTATTTGTGTTTTCATGTCCACAGTGTGGGCTTCTGTTATCACTATGATATTTAGAATTGCTGGAGGAGCAATGGCTTGGTGGCAGGCACAGTGCCGGGCAAGCCTGAGGAGTAATGATGGGCTAGGCTGCTGCTTCTGAGGGAGAGGCCCAGGCTCCCTCTAGGCTCCTGAGAGCAAGAGCACAAGCCAGTAAGAGGAAAATGGGGGAGTTTATAGTACAGTATCACCTCACCCAAAGACAGGTCTGCCCTTTGCTTCTGGGAGTTGATCTCTAAGCCCTTGGAATATCATGCCTGATGGGAACGCCTGTTTGTCTGGAGGAATTGGGCCAGCCAGATCATAACTACATGAGTTAGGGTGAGACTCTTGAACCACACCAACAATAGAGTATAGGGTAGGGTCACATGTCTACTCAACTATGGAGGGGCTGGAGACAGATCAGCCATATGGACAGTCAATCATGACCATATGATAGAGCCCTCATACCCACCCCCAAATTCTGGACTCAATGCTCCAGGAGCTGTCCTGGTTAATTATACTCCATTGTCACACATGGTTGTCAGGAGGAGTTAATGCTCTCCACAACTACACAGGACAAGGACATCCGGAAGCTCCATGCTGGGAACCTTCCTGGATTCTGCCCTGTGCATGTCTTCCCCTGGCTGATTTTCATCTGTATCCTGTCCTTATAATAAACTACAGCTGTGAGTATAATAGCTCTCAATGTGTTCTGTGAGTTTGTCGGCAGATTGTGGAACTTAGGCTGGTTTGGGGGCACCCTTCAACTTGTAGCTGGTGTCAGAAGTGAGGGTGGTCTTTTGAACTACTCCTTCTAACCTCTTCAGGGAAGAGAAACATGTTATACTCATGTGTAGATTAATTTATGCATAGGAACCAGACATTGACTTGATAACACCCAGGGTCTGTATGATTGGGTTTTGTGGGATGGTAGCAAATTTGCACTATTTTGTACTATTATTGTGGTGTGATTTTACTATGCAGTGATAGTATGATTTACTATGCACCATTGCCTGGTGATACGTAGACCTCAAGCCTTTTTGTAACCGGTGGGTTTTAATCTTCAACACTAGAGGGCCCTCAGGGCTCTGAGAAAACAACCAGAAAGAAAGGTTGGCTTCTGAATTAGAGGATTAGAAAAAATAAATACAAGAGACCATGTGGTGTCAAATGAAGACAGGTTCCTGTGTCTTTCCTGCTCAGGGCTACATGACCTTAAGTTGTGTGGTTCTCTTCCTGTATTGAAAACAACTTTCCCTCCTCCCCTATTTTGCCTCAGGTGGCATTACCCATTTTGTCACAGTCCATTTTTGGTCCAGGCTCCTACCCTTTGGTCTCAGCCCACAGCACTCCGCCCCCATTTTCATGAGCCACGAGACTCTGGTAATAGAGTAAGAGGTCAGGAACAAGAAATCGTTTATTCTCAAAAACAGCAGTATGGTAGAGGGTGCAGGGCTGACCCCAAGCCCATGGAATAAGAGGCTCACCAACTAAAGCCTCAGCAGGTGAACGAACAAATAAAAGTGCCTAGCTCTAAATGGGCCAGTTGCAGAGGCTCTGGTGTCTGGACAGAGGAGAAGGTGCAGCACTTAATGAGCTTGGGACCCAGCACAAGCCACTCAAAGTTTGCAATACAGATTTACAACTATGCAAAGACCACTTTCAAATAACACTATACTGCCCGATGGATAGTGCAGGTATCTTAGAGTGTTCCCGATTCTTTCCTCTGGTCCCTTATAACATTTCTGTCATAGATGTCACTTATCCACAAGCTATAATCATCTGACATATTGTTCCTACTGTTATTTTTAACACACTACATTTACTTGTTCATATATTTATACTGCCTGTCTCTCCCAACTAGAATGTAAGCACCACGAGTGCAGGAATTGGGGTTATCATGCCTGCCACTGTAGACTGCAGGCCTAAACCACTGACGGGCACAGAGTGGTACTCAGTAAATATTTGTTCAATGCACCAGTGGTATCTTACTTTCTTCTTACTTGGGCAACCTGATGCGCTCTCAAATACACAAACAATGGATGTAAAGTGAAGCCCCAGAGGTGTGTACAAACTGGAATGCTCGTTGGCTAATCCCTTGAGTTGGGTGGAGCATTCAGTGGGAAAGGAAAGGGTCATAAACCCTCACTTGAACTTCCTGCAACACTCCAAGACAAGAGCCACGAAGAGGTAAGGATAGTGGTGAATTTCTTATATGATGTTCTTGGGTTTGGCTGGATAGTTCTATTTTGTGGCCAAATTTGCAGCTTACAGTCAGCAATTGTTTTAACTTTGTGGTTAATTTATTTTATTTTTTTTTTTAATTTTTTTTTTTTCAACGTTTATTTATTTTTGGGACAGAGAGAGACAGAGCGTGAACGGGGGAGGGGCAGAGAGAGAGGGAGACACAGAATGAAACAGGCTCCAGGCTCTGAGCCATCAGCCCAGAGCCCGATGCGGGGCTCGAACTCACGGACCGCGAGATCGTGACCTGGCTGAAGTCGGACGCCCAACCGACTGCGCCACCCAGGTGCCCCACTTTGTGGTTAATTTAATGCCTAGGATTTTAAACTTGCCTATATCAAATAAAAGGAACATTTTTTCTGCAGAGTAGATCTGTACATGGAAAAGAGATAGCAAATTTTCATCTAGACAGGTCTTTTGGAGACTTTAATTGCCTATGTATGACATACATATCACACATTGAAATGCCCCCCCCAGGCCCATACTGCACATTAAATGTAATTTAAAAA